CAGGCAGGAGCCAGCAGCCATGAAAGCCTCACACAGGGCAGCAGGGAAAAGGCTGCTAGGCTCCATTCAGAATTCAGGCCCAGTTAGCCACTCAGCATCTGCCTTGAGGAACTGGCTCTTTCAGGGTTTACAACTACAGTCAATTTTAGAACACTTTCTTCACCCGGAAAGCAACTCCAGACCCTTTATCACTCCTCAGTCCAGCCCCCATCCTCTGCAGTCCTAACCAACCGCTAGTCTGCTTTCCGTCTCTATGGGTTTGCCTGTTCTGGACATTTCACATAAACAGAGCCATACAATGCGTGACCTTTCGTGTCTGGCTTCTATCACTGAACGTGCTGTTTTCAGGCTCATGTGCATTACGTCACGTGTCAGTGCTTCACTCCTTTTTACTGCCAAACAATCCATCCTGTGGACAGAGTCCACCTTGTTCATCCACCCATCAGCTGATGGACACTGGGCTGTTCCCACCTTTTGGCTACATGAATGGTGCGGCTATGGACACTGACACACACCTTCGAGTCCCTATGGGGCCACATCCCGAGACACAAAGTGTGATGATGTAAGGTGTTAATGTTAGGAGAAATTGGGTAAGGGATGTACAGAAACTCTCTGACTTATCTACATAACTTTCCTGTAAATATAGTTATTCCAAAGTACAAACTTTATTTAAAAAAAAAAAGACAGGCTGATGGATAAAAAGGATGGTGTCTCAGTCTGTCTTGTGCTGCTATAACAGAATACCCGCGACTGGGCAANATGTAATTCCCCCATTTAAAGTGTACAATTCAATGGTTTTCAGTATCTTCACAGAGGATACTGTGCAACCACCACTATGTTAACAAATTTTATTGGAAAAGAATTTGGAGATAAAGGGTCTCTATTTCCGTGACCAGTCTACAAACCAGAGAGAGTTTGCAAACTGGGAAGGAGCAACTTTCAGTACAAAACAAAAGTGCGTTCTGCCAGACTGGAGAGAGGGACTGTCTTACACAGCAAAGTCCCGGCCCACGCTCCCATTCTGGTCCTCCTATGCACAGAAGGATTCGAGCTCGCTCAGCTCTGAGTGGCTCAGCAGGTTATGCAGAACAGGTATTCAGGCTCGCTGAGTTCTGGCCCATCCACCCTCGACAGGCTGCAGTCCACTAATAAAGTTCAGGGGTAAAGTAGGGCCTGGTCACAGCAGTCACGGTGACACAGGCAGGAGCCAGCAGCCATGAAAGCCTCACACAGGGCAGCAGGGAAAAGGCTGCTAGGC